ACAGAGGTATATGTGGTCAAAACCTGACCTATTTTCGTCCCGCGGTCGATTTTGGTTTTTTTTAAATTGCACCCCAAATATGTTGCCGAAAGACGTAATCCTACGTCAAAACATAAAAGAGTCTAATTTAGGAATAAGACTTCGACAATTCCACTGTAGAATAGTGATCAAATCCCCGACCTCGTTTGGAAAATTATCCATCGAAGGAAATGATTGCTGCAATGAGGGGCCACTTCAATGTCAATTGCTTCAAGAGGGTCTTCACAGTAGGAAGCATTGCCAGAACAATGCTTTTGAGAGGATCAGACATATTCAGGTACTTGAGAATATCGTCCACAATTTTATCAAATGAGAACAACCCAGATGAAGAAGGGGCTTCTGTTCTTAAAAATGGGACATCAGGGGTTTTGGATGTCCCCGGGAGAGGTGGAAAATCCTGGGTATAGTCAGTTCTTCTGAATCCAGGAGGAGTAGAAACTTCCCTTTTTCCACCACTCCTTGATTTGGGCAAGCTGATTTGGGGTTCTTCATTCTCAACTTTCCGCGAACGGATGCGTTTTCGTTTCCGTGCTGAAAAACGGAAAGAAGTTCCCTCCTCAGCCAAGTCAGAGTCAGTCTCGTCATCTGACAAAAGAGAAAAGGGATTTTTGTCGTTGGTCGATGGCGTGGCCGTCTTAAGCATTTCTGCAAAAGACTGCCGGGAACGTTCCTTAAGTGAGCGTTGTAATTTCTCCCCGCGTTGTTTGTACACCGGGCATGACGAGATACCATGAGGAGTTCCCTTACAGTACACGCATTTTGGTGCGGTAGCTGCACAGGTGTCATCCCCATGCTTCTCTCCGCATTTGGAACAGCGTGCCTTGCTGCCACAGTGGGAGGCCGTATGTCCCAACTGCTTACAGTTTTGGCAGTTCATGACCCGGGGAACGAACAAACGCACAGGTAGTCGAAGTTTTCCCAGCTCGATGTAGTGAGGAAGGGCTGAACCAGAAAAGGTCACACGGAACGAGTCTGTGGGGTAAAACTCTGATGAGATGAGCGGTGTAAATGCCGAGGCAGATGCTGACACTCGATGACGATGATCCGTGTGCAGGTATGCGTTACCACGCACCGATGGTGCGCAAAATGGTTGGCGAATTGGCAATCGCAAAAACAATTTTCCTTCCGATGATGCCGAAAACACACTTTCTTCTCAGAAAAAACTCACTTTTAGTTAATTATTTAGCTGGGAACTTTCTGGCTAGGACGCAGTGGAGTCTTCCAAGAGTACTTGAAACACGTTAAATTTTATTTTACAAGCATCCCAACTAACATTTTTAGCTTTATAAGCCAACTTTTCCAGCGTTGTGCTGTAAAGTAGCTGAAACAAATCTGCAGATACAGCAACAAGCAGAAACCAGCAAAATAGTTTTGGAGAGCGTTTACTCAACTTTTTCACAACCATTATTCAATTTGTCAGTCGCACTGACTAACATCACCCAATAAACGCTAATGTCACTTCTATGCTAATATTAATCAACTTTCAACTTGTAGCTGCAAAACAAAGCTAATCAAGTGAACATATTACTCATTTGATGGCTTTTATATAACCAACCACTCTTGCTGAATAAGATAAACATCAAAAGTGCTTTTTCAGCAGCTAAACAACCTGTACTCAACTAGTAAACTGTGTTAGCGCTACTTTGGAAGCTATTTTACAGTCAATTAGGTTTATTTTTAGACTTGTGCAGTTTTACAGCTTTTACTCTGCTTCTTTACAAAGCCGAGAAAAGTGATTCATGTGCACTATTATAAAACCTCTACTCAGCGATCTTGTTGTAGAAGGGCATCTAAATTTGTTAACGTCTGTGCAAAGTGTTGGCGTAGCGATGTTGGTAGAATCAAGGTTCGCCAATGCGGCCGTCTCGAGTTCGATTCCAGGTTCCAGTACAGTGTAAATAATTTGGTGGTGTTTCTTATAACTCATTTCGATAAATTTGATTCGCAGTAACATAAACAGGATATTACTCCAACAAAAAAAAAACTTAAACAATATTTAGCCTGGTGTCAACAGAAAGCTGAGTAGTGATTATTGGATAATCGGGAAAAAGTTGAATAAGCGCCTTTCAAGCTCGCACACAACTAAACAGCAGGATAACAGCTGTATAGAAGCGTAAATAGATGTGCAATAAGAGCTTATCCCAACCGTCACAACAGCCATAGGTAGCTGACTAAGTTCGCTAGATTTGCTTGCATAGAGGTTGAGTAAAGGTTTCTTCATATCGTATAACATTTGAATACAACTTGCGGCGTAAAGTAAAGCGTTTACATTGCGAAAATTGTTATTTGGGATGGGTTATGATTGTGCAGGTAGATTAGAGATTTCAGTTATTTATTAAAAAAGACTAAATAATCATCAAATGAACTTCAATAAGAAAATTCAGAAAATCAATTAATATAAGAGATAAGACCCCCGCGTCCACTTAGGGAGGCAACTAGCCTTTAAAGTTGTATAATAAATCTTCCTATTTAGTATATTTGTTAATTGTAGGCAATGTCAATAGCGAAAGTCATCTCTTCAACCAGGCGCTTGGGAATAAGTGAAGTTTTAGGAAAGATGTTTTTAATATGTTGATAGGTATGAAATAAGAATGAGGATTGTTGTACTTTAGTTTTCGGTAAGGTATGATGTGTCAACTAAACCCTTTTGAGCAATTTTTCAAAAATCAAATTGATTGAGTGATTTATTGAAAGACACCTTCATTGAAACATTGCGTTTCGTTAGAAAACAGTCAAGTCATTCATCTAAAGAAGTTGTGACCAGTTGGTTACAATGCGTGGATTTTCCGCCATTCTCCCAAAACAGCACCAACACTGCCTGCAGCCCACGCCCCAAGTTTCCAGCCACACGGTAGTGCAGGAGCAGCCCTGTGGTTCAACGCCAGAGTCGCGACGCCGTAGTATCACTTTCTCTCGAGCTTGACGACAAGAGGTTAGAATTAGGGGAGTGCAGGGTAACGTTTTGTTCGGTATCGAGGACCACGTGTAGTTTTCACGGGTATAGCCTACCACCTGCTTTGTCCACGACCGCTTTTAGCCTTATTCGCTCTCGAAATAGAGAATTCTCAATCTCAACCAAACTCCCACGTCACCTATTAACGTGTTCAAGGGTCTTACAAATTACACAATAGAAAAATTAACGACTTATTTTTCTTATCTGGTTCTAAATTCTACCAATGTTCACTATTTTTTTTAGGTTTAGCTTACGAAATTCACTAGAGTAAACTATAATACATAGTTTAATACATTTTTAGTTCAAATGCATTTTCAATAACTCACTTTATGCTAGGCCAAAAATTCACCACTAAACCAATTCAAAGTTTCTTCACTATTTCAAAAATTATTCCGTTTTATAAAAATCGAACCGAACAATCTAAGCACTCCAGCAAAAGTGATTTGAAAGTGTTCTGGGTTAATCCTTTCAAGTCCCATGACTTTGGATTAACCAATCAAAACTATTTGCATCGTGTAAATCAAACCCAAAGACAAAACGTAATAGCGTTTGAGTGAGGCAAATTCATTTTATTGCGTCGTGCGAAAATTAAATATAAACTTTTCTCTTGATCGCCTACACACTGGAAGATCAATTCGAGCAGTTTGGGATGGTACAGTGTTGGTAGGGTATCAAGTAGCTTAAGCCGTGTGCAGTCCAAGAAGTATAATTAAAGGCAAAATGTTTATTAAATTCTAGTGGGTTGTAAAGTTATCGTTTCAAATTGCTGATTGCTTATTTTGCAAATTGAAAAATCATGCACAAACTTTTGAAAATCATATGTTTAAAGTCTGAAGAATGTTTTGGAATATGGTATACTTGCATGGGAAACATAGGGGCAAGATTTAATTTCGTTGCGCGCACATATTCACTGAAGGGAGAAATAGCACCCCAGATGCATGTTCTCTATGGGAGACAATGCCACTTTCCCTGAAAAATCAATTTATTCGAAATTGAATGGACTAAATTTTACACCATTACAATCACACCAATTTTTTCCCCCGATATTCACTTTCCTTCACCGGATTTTCGGGACGTTTCCTAGAAAAACCACCCAAATTTCAGAGTTAAAGGCTCAAAATGCCCAAACGGTGGCCTTAAGACAGTAATTGTCAGTTGAATTGTAACAAACCATACCATACCATACCATTGCAAAGTACAGGGCCGATTAAACAAACTCAAATCTGAGTCTCGTTCACTCAAATTCACGAAAACTTAGGTTACTCACAGACTGAGGAAATTTTCCTCGATTTTCCAGAAAAAATCTTCCCGAATATGAAGAAAATTTAGAAATGTTTCACTCAGCCCATTAGTATACTCCTTCCTCATATTGAGTAGATTTTTCAGGAAAAGCGATGACAATTCAGCTCAGTCTAGGAATAACCTACGTTTTACCGATTTCGAGTCATTAACCACTTATTTTTCAGTCGATATCCGCCGCCGTGTAGCTTCCGCCAATTCACCGAGTGAACCGTACTCCTGCACATAAAGCACAACGTCTGCTGTAAAGCACTCGCAGCTCCATTCCATTCCAACAGCCTACCATCCGTCCCCATCAAATCGTTACTGGCAGACAATCATGAATTCTCCCCCCACTCGACGGGACTGGACTTTTCCACCCAGCCGAGCCGCGTTCATTGTGGGTCGACTGAACCGCCGCCGCCACTCACCAGATAACAAGCAGCACAGCACAGGTGGCTGCAATGTGAGAATTGAGCAACAAAAATCCATACCAACTCGCTCTCAACTGCGCGCCCGCCCGGTCGATCGGTGTGGTGAGCTCAGTCTCTCCGCCGCTCTCTCTCACAGTGCTCTCGCTCCTCTCGTTCACACGGGCGGCGATAGTTTTGAGACAGACTAGCTTTGAGCTGGCTTGGCTGGCTGACTGGCTGAGTGGCTGATATCACATAGAACCATTCGTTCGGTTCGGTCGTTTCGCATTCGGTCAGAGCGTCGCGACGGCTACGACGTCGCATCTTCTTTTGCCTACGACCGACGGACGTGGTTGGTTGGTTGGTTGGGTGGATTGGTTTTTGCTCCTAGCTCAGCCCGAGATTGACGACGCTCTTGGTCCCAGTTCTATTCGGTCGGTACTCGCAGTCTGTCGCAACTCTGGTCTTTGGGTGGACGACTCTGGCGTCAGCACGTCTTACAGCAACGCGGACTCCTTGCAAATCTCGGTTCGGTTGACGGTCGGTGCGCGGTTTGTGCGTGGTAGGTCGGCGGTGTTTTGTGGTGCCGCGTCTCGCGAGGTTTGGGGGGGCTTTTCATATGCTCAATCAGCCCGGTTGTTGTGTGTACATACCGACGACATAAGAGATCTTGGTGCAGGTCCGTGGCAGGAGGAGGAACTTCCGGTTGGGAGCGAGAGGTTTGTGTTAGCTAGCGATGGGGCAGGCATTGATTGTAGCATAATTCTTTTGCTTTTTGGGGCCATCGATGCACAGTTTGTGGAAAATCGTCTACGGGCAGTCGAGCAAATAGTTTGGTGTGCGGTTGCAAGTGTTAGAAGGTGGAAATTGTCTACCACCCACCCAGTCATTCAGTCATTTGGCGGGTGGGCTCCAGCTGTGTGGCAGAAAAGAAAAGTGTTCGTTTGTGGTGGGAAAATGGTTCTAGGCAAGAAGCAGGTGCTAGAGATTGTGGTGAATATCCTTGAGTAGGACGAAAATAAGCAGCAAGAATGTGCGATTTCTGAGAAATTGCACGCGTTGCAAGTGGATGGTGCTTGCTGAGCTTGAAGAGCGTATGTTGATACCGTGCTGCTAATCTGCACGGAATCAACGATATGTTGACAAAAGGCCTGGAAGAAATTTTTCATCTCGACAAGCTTCCTCCGTGCTCAAGTTTGCGTAAAGGAAAGGAACGCGCGTTACTCGTAGTCCTACGGTTTAATTAAAAGCCACCGAACGAAGCAGGTCGAGGATTCATTTCCTCTTGTTGTACCCTTCCTGTACTCTTCAAAGTGCGCCGTGTTCCGCGCACCGGATGCGAGCTGGTGTGAAAAGAGATGGTAATCGGAAAGAGCTTGGCAGATGCCAAGACTTGAGATAGGGAAAAAAAAGGCGCACACCAGAGATGGCGGTAGCGACGATGGCGTCAAAATATGTCGTGCTTCTACCATCCAGGGTATGAAGGCCTTTGCCTCTAGGCCGTGTCCGCGCGATTCCTCGGAAGTGCGGGGCAAATTCGTAGAAGGAGGACACGAAAATAGCTCCATCGTGAGTGAATGTGTGTGTGTGCGCGTTTCTGTGTAAGCGTGAAAAAGTGAGAAACCTACTATTCAAGGAGAGTGAAATCCGTGTGAAGGTCGTTTCAAAAGTAATGTAGGTGATATTGTCGTGCGCCAAAACATACCACACAAAAAGTGAAAACAGAGAGAGAAAAACACAACAAGTGAGGGGTAACCAAAAGCTCGAATAAAGCGATAAAATTCGAACGTTGTGAGTTGCTTGAGCCGACGAAGAAGAAGCAACGAAACCATAACCAGCAAAAGCATAAAAATCTGAATTTATTTGGGTCTCCATATTGAAGCGAGGGCCCTGTTGTTTTGGGGTTTAAATTTTACTGCGGATTGCGGATTTTCGAACCGAAGAGGTTCTGCAGTGAAGTGGCAGCAGCAGTCACATAGAAGTGCCACATTTACGTTTCCATTAGGCTGTCGCAGCGGTTGGTGTGTGTGTGTGGGCAGTGCAGGTACAAAGAGCGCCTTTGTTTAAGGACAACTGCTTTGGGAGGAACTACAGAAAAAAAGTTAGTATGCAATTTGTATTTTATCAACTTATGTCACGATTGTGGTTTAGGTTGTCCGAATACTAAATATATGCTTAAATTTGATTATAAAAAGGCGCAAACTCTGTTGTTACTATCTGTTACTAAATGTTACTATCATATTTAATATAATATTCATTAGGGTTCATACAGTTGTCTTGATCAAATATTCAGAAGATTTCGTCTGAAACATATTTATGTTTTACAAAAAAATATATACATTTTTGTAGTGGTTAAAATTGAATACTTTAAATGTAGGAAGTTGTTTATATTTTATAAATCAAACGACCTGCTCTAAAGACTAAATTTTATATTTCAAACATATAGACTCAACACAGCAGCATAGTTTGAATATCACCTACTCTGTTTAGTTATAATACAAGCAATATTCAGCTTGTCAGTGATTTTGGATCACAGTCAGCGTCATTCACGCGTATTGAGTGCCACGAAGTGGGGGTTCGATTTCCGCTCCAGCCGGTGCAAATTTTGACTACCTGCAAATTTCCCTACTGGTCTACTGGGTGTGTTGTGTTGTCCGTTGTCTATTGTTAAATATACAGTCTGTGCAATCTCTGGCTGGAGACGGCGTCAATTGTCTTGTCAACGCTGATGACAATTTCATGGAGATTTTGTGAATAAAGGAAATACAATCCGGAAGAGAAATTACAGAAAATTCTTATGGTGAAATTCAATGAGAATACTGATACGGATCGTGAAAATAATTTCAATTGAATTCTGTCCAATGTTTCACATCTAAATCTCAATTTTAGATGCTCAAAAAATCTCACACTAGCGAATCAATCTTCGAAAAGTCTTCTTGCATTTCTCGCATATACTTGCATCGCGCATCATTTTTTTGCAGGAAATCTTCAGAATCGTCATCAATCTTCTTTCTATCGACTCACGTGCGAGCAACTAGCCACAGTACAATACAATCTTTTCTGCACCGTAGATAGAGTCGTCTCCCTTGGTTTCTATGGAGATTTATTTTAAGACATTTCAACAGAATTATGCCCAATTTCAGAGAAAACATGCAACACCATTTTGACAAAGCTGATGAAATTTGACATTTGACATTTTTCTCTATGAAAATCTGGGAAAAAAAATCATAATAATTTCCTTGGTACACTCTTCAGACTAACCGTCACGCTCTTCTCAGGCTCATCCGATAATTCGCTTTGATCTGCTTTGTAGGTAAAAATTGTTTTGAAATACTCTTCAGTATGTCCTAATTATTCAAGTTAATTGAGAAATACTGAAGAGGATCTCAAAACAATTTTTACCTACAAAGCTGTTTAAAGGGAATTACCGGATGAGTCTGAAAAGAGCTTGACGGTTTTCTGAAGAGTGTACCTAGGAAATTATTATGATTTTTTTTTCCAGAATTTCATAGAGAAAAATGGACACAAAATTGTGTAATTTTTTGGGAATTATTACCAGTTTGAGGGAATTGTGGAATTAGAGAGTGATTTATAAAAAATTACTAGAGGTAATGTTAAGAACTCTTATAATGTTACTGGAAAAGTTTGGATATTATCAAGATTATTTTAGAGGAATATAGAAAAGAAGTATGATGAAATTCCAGGATGATCAAATGGAACTAAAAAAGGGTGAAAATATCCTGTGAAGAGAGTTCCAAGTAAATTCAGACTTACAAAAAAATTCATGATCGGGGACCGAGGAAATTCCAGAATTTATAAACATTTATAGATCCTGAGACTTCCAAATATACCTTTCAGACTTTCATTATTCATTGGCATAAAATTATTCGTAATGGTCATGCGAATAGTGGAGTTATCCGTAGTTTAGGTAAACTGTGTGTGAATACCACGATGTTAGACTTTGATTCCCATTTCAGCCAGGTGAATTTTGCTTCAAAATAAAATTGCCTACTGGTTTACTGGGTGTTTACTCAGAGTAATATGAGAATTATTTAGAAGTATAAAATCTTTAAATTCTGGTATTGCATCAAATAGTAAGGACTATATCGATTATTATTAGTTGAAACAAATCCATCCCATCAAATTTTTTTGATTCTTGGCTTCTCATCCTTTTAAAAAAAGATATTTTCTGCAGTATTTTACCCACATTTGACTAAATTTTGGAAATGCTGCGTAATGAATATTTAAACTTTATGTGCACACTGTGTCAATACTTTTCAACTTTTGGATGTTTTCAGCAATGCTATCAAGTGATTTGCTTTATATAATTTATTTAAGCATGTTATTCATAACCATTCTAGTACAGGCCGGACTCGATTATCCGGAGGCTCGATCAACCGGAGGCTCGATTATCCGGGGCTCGATTATCCGGAGTCATTTTGACGTAGGACTACGTCTTTGATTTCTATATGGGGGTACACTTTGTGAAAACCGAAAATGGAACATGTAACAAATTAAGAAAGATTTTGAACGTTAATAACTCAGCTTCCCCTGGTCCAATTTCAATAATTTTATCACCAATCGATCAGAAATATGGCTACGCATTGATAACAATGCTTCCGAATGTTGATTTTCAACAAGAAACTATTGAAAAACTGGTAAATGTTTAGCATTGTCCAAAAGCGTCGAATTAACTAACAAATCCACCAATTACCTACATGCATATGCTGCTTCCCCAGCACAGTCGTCAGAGAGTAGTAAGTAGACGAAACAAGTCGAAGTGGCATTCGCCTCCGATCCTCGGGCGCGTGCGAATGGAGGATGGAATTGCGTAATATTTTACACACTCATCGCCATGTTCAGAACCAAACGCAAATTCTTCGAGATAACCACCATCCGTCGTCTGGCTCGCCGTGGCGGTGTCTGACGTATCTCCGGTTTGATTTACGAGGTGTGCTGAAGGTGTTTCTGAAAAATGAGGTCTGTGATGCTGTCACCTACACTAAACACGCCAAGCATAAGCGACCATGGATGTCATCTACGTTTTGAAGTGACAGAGACGCACTCTGTTTGGTTTCAGAGGTTAAATCATCACCAACATTGGAAACAAAACGGCTCTTTTCAGGGCCACCAAGCTTATTACAGTAAAGAGTAGGAATAGAGTTCATCTGCCTGTTTGTCCATATTCAGAACCACCAACCACACAAAATGCTCATGTAATCAAACTGGAAGCAGGGATACAAATTGTTTTGATCAACCTTGATCAACTTTGAATAGACACGGCCGGATATTTTCGATGGAAGAAGCAACAATCTAGCATCTAATTTGACGAAGACGGCAGGAAACATTTCTGGATCAACAATAGAATAGGGCCAATCAGCATTTGTAAACAAACCGTTCCAAAGCCTCACAAATCGAAGGCCGCTCACACAAACCAACACCAACATCTTGTATCTTGTTTTCCGTACTGAGCTCCAATGCTACCGACGCCAGGGAGGCAGCTCCCAGAGATGTTATGCCTTAGAACATGCCGATGGCACCGACTGAGATTGGACCCAGGCCTGTTGGGGTGAGAGGTAATCACGCTAACCACCGGCGCCGATATCTATCACGGCGAATGAGAACGACCCAAATTTGAGTTTAGTTATCTCAGAAATAAGTGCAGGAACTCAGCGATGAGTAAATATTCTTCATGTTTTCCCAGGTTTTTCCAGGATTTTCCAGGGAAAAAATTCCCGAATTTGAGAAAAGTAACGATTGGATTGACTCAGTCTATTGGTACTACTCCGAGACTGAATAAAATTTTCGTCAATTTCCTCATTTTCTGGCAGATTTTTTAGGTTTTCCACAGGAAATCATGAGACAAATTTACTCATTGCTGAGTTCCTACACTTTTGGCGATTATGAGTGAACTAAACTCAAATTTGGGTCGTTCTCATTCGCCGTGTACGCAAAAAGAAAATAGCCAGTGTCGCTACTTGATAGCAAACTACTCATAATGGGAGGAGTCTTTGTAGCTTTTATACCACTTGGTTGCACATCATTCTGCTTTAACCTAAAAAGATATAAAGTAGCGCTGCTGGTATCAGCTCATTTTCGTTTCGGACGGCGTGGTCAGCAATAGTAGCAGTAGATCGTGGCAAAGGAGGTGCCAATCGTCATCGCAAATTCTTCGAGATAACCACCATCCGTCGTCTGGCTCGCCGTGGCAGTGTCTGACGTATCTCCGGTCTGATCTACGAGGTGTGCTGAAGGTGTTCGTGGAAAATGAGGTCCGTGATGCTGTCACCTACACTAAACACGCCAAGCGTAAATGGCCATGGATGTCCTCTTCAATAAAACGGCCCTTTTCAGGGCCATCAAGCTTACATCAGTAAAGAGTTGGAATAGAATTTATCTATGCTTGTTTGTCCATATTCAGAACCACAAGCCCCCAACGACCACACAAACTTGGAAGCAGGGGTGCAAGTGATTTTGATTGATTCTCGTAATCAACTTTCTTTTTGAAAAAGATTACTACAAATTTGGATCGCCTACAATTCAACACCGGAAAGAGTTGAGATAATAGATATTGCAGGCATAACATTTGATAACGTCACAAAAGCATTTGTAAACAAACCTTCTAAGGCCCTTTACACGCGAACCAAAGTACGCCCACACAAACCAACTACATCATCGCATAGGGGCAACTATCACCTTTCCGTAAGTGGTATTGGTTTGCGTGGGCGTACTTTAGTTCGCGTGTAAAGGGCCTTAGAATGTTTGTTTACAAATGCTTTTGTGCCGTTATCAAATGTTATGCCTGATTTGATCAATTAAAAGAACTCTTTACATTTATTCCGTCCACTAGCGGTCCTACGTCAAGCTTCCGTTCGTGCCCCTAGGCACAGACCCTTCTACTTTTTTTTTTACCTATCTTGCAAATTATTTTTCATAAACCGCTTGGAAAACCGACTTTCGATCCGAGGACGAGTAACATACATCGTTCGACTCAGTCTGACAAGATCGGGAAATGACTATATTTAAGTGTTTGTGTGCCTTTGTTACAAAATCCGGCGTTAAGGGGTGTTGGATTACCTTTGACCTGAAAGGAATCAAACA